TAAGTCAACTCGACATACTTCCACGATAGTTTAAAACATTTAGCAACTATACATCTTTATACACGGATTATAATTCTTTCTTGATGTGTGTTTGAGTTTAGTGCCACTTGGGCGTGCCATAGTTAGTGTACGATTAATCGTTCTGTTCATGGGTTTCACTCTTCACTGAATAATAATTAAAATATTCAAAATATTCCTGATTCATTCATTTTTATTTCAGACATTGTCCATATAAAATACAAAAATACATATCAGTCCAAGTACATGATGCACAGAGTACAACAAAATAGATTAAAAAAAGTGGAAAGTGGAGATTAATCTCTGTCTGTGTACAATGATAACAGCCGTATAATAATATACGACAGACATAATAATACAAAATGTTAATGATAGATATTCAATGATAGGCATAGTGATATTGTCTTAAACACATGCAGACATCTCATAGAGTGAAATGATTAATGCACATTATGTAGGATAATTATAGCAATAGGCGTAATGAATATGCCTTGTAATATGGTAAACAAATAAATTGTTTGTTTGCACATTTTTTTTTAAAATGATAAATAGAGAAGGGTGGAAAAGTTTTTTTAAATTTTTTTTAAAAATATTTATCAGATGGAATAAAAATAACCCACAGAGGGATATCTTATCACTTTTTTTTTTTATTTGTAAAGAAAAAAAGCTAAAAAAAATACAATGTTTTAAGTTTGTTTTTCCGCACCTATTTTTTTTCAGTGAGTTAGGGGTGGGTGGAGGAGGGCAAACAAACAATTTTTTGTTTGGCCTAATACATTAGTGTAGGGGTAAAGTAGAAAATAACTTTCACCTTGGAATGCTTCTTGTTTGTTGATTGGTTGTTAGTTGGGGATTGTTTATTTCCCATTGGTCAATCGAGTTGCGGGTATCGCTGCCTCTGAAGTTGCCGTCGACGCACACGCCTGTAAGTTGGGCGGTCGGACTCAACATAAATCACATTCATTGTTACATAATAGGCCTACATGGTACCGTTAACTTTGACTGTTGCTCAATGTTATAAATTGTTACCGTTTAGGCGAGGTTGCTTTTTGTTTTGGTACGGTATTATTTCCTCAAATTCACAACTTAAAACTTCCTAGCCGAAATCTGATTTCTTGAATTATCGATAAGTGAATGCGCTCCACATAGAAGTGGAGTATTTTAACAAGCCTAAAGAATAATAAACAAAAATCTCGCTTTGGGCATTAAAATCTTGCGGAATTATTAGAATCATTTCTACTATAACTGAATACCACTACAAACAAAATAATGCACTAGAAGAGCCTACAATGTTTTTGGTGATTCAGAAATAACCAGCGGCGGTCTTTGCGGTGATTTAGGAAATTGTCAAATGAAACATGTACGTACTGTTCAACGAATGTCAGACCGTACTGGCGATGTGTTGGTATGCGCATCACGTAGCCAATGCGTAGATTATCCGGCTTATATTCATCTAAAGTCTATTTTAGACGTGATCTTCATCTATGATGAACCTGGTCGAATCTGTAGTCATTTAAAGTGGTAGGACCAACTGATTCCGTGCTAGTTGCATCACTCAGTCTATGCGCCCGCCATACATTACCATCCAGGGACAAGGCGGATGTAAGTCACCTTGGTTACATTTCCACGCGTGAGAATGCGGGCTCATCGGCATTTTCACCATCTAAACACGTAGGCCTAGTACTGCCACCTTAAGACATTATGAACGTGTTATCCCAAGCCAATATTTTGTTAATACTGCAAGTTATGTTGTCTGCCGACGCCAAAGACGCCAGTACAAGTGTTAACTATCCTCTAACTCTCCACAGAAAACTTTTAAATCCGGTTAAGAACTTAATTCTGTGAACTTATATATAATAATATGATAGATGATATGAATGATACAAATGTCTTTTGTTTATGGTCACTATTATGAGTTCAGCATTTTTTTTAATGGTTTTGAATAATTTTGACGACCTTCAAAACAATGCAGTTAAATGTAACTATAGTCCTACGACCGAAGCTATTCACACATTATCTTTGTCAACAAAATTATAAATTTGTACAACATTACAAAGATGATAAATATTTAACATTGAGTGTCTTTTAAATGTAATGAGTTGACCGGTTGTAAATCGTAAGCCACAACGTTCCAGCGCATCCGATCAATTGTTACGCTGTTATTTTATATAGGCCTAATTATTTAAAAAAAACCCTTCCCAAATACAAAATTTAATTTCGCAAATTATTATTATTTAATGACAGGCAAGGAGCACGGATATAGGCATATTATGGTTACAGTTTAAATGAATAATGATTAATAATTAAATGATGATCTGTATTGTGTAAAACAAACATTTATTATTGTTACTTCGCCATGCAAACCTTCAAACAATGGAGCATATATTTTTATTGTTATTGTCTTGTGTTGTTTTTTTTTTCAGAAACATCACTTGAAGCATTATGCGAACTAAATTTTTATAGACTGTTCTATTGTTGATTGTTTTACAATATTTTGGTGTTCATGCAAATCGGTTTTATTTGATTCAACGGAATCTTGTACCCGGTCATGTCTGTATATTTTTTCTCCGGTTTTTTTGCTTCGTTGTTGTTATTAAGTTATTTTGACCGGTGACCTTGGCCCAGGAAAACAGACCTGTCTGTCGGTATTTAGACAACGCCGTAAAATTTAGTTTTTGTCGCCGACTTCTTATAACAATTCTATGCCTTTTATTTTGTTATCAAATAATTTCTTTGTTGACATCGCTATTTAATATTTTATTGACGAGGGTTTTTTTCTCCTTTTGCCATTAATTTACAACCGTGCAACTGGCTTTATGAGCCTTTTGCACGCACAAGACAGCACGAATGTCTAAAAAATAGCCGGGTTAAATCAACTTTAAGTACGGTACCGTACTGTATAGACATTTAATATCAATACTAAGGAAAACAAATAAGTTAAAATGTTGTATTCAATTGAATACATGCTCAATAGCTGTGATTATAGTAATAATAATAATGGTCAATATCTCACCGAGGCCTTTGATACAGTGGCGTATTTAGAAGTCTTTAAATGGGGGTGCTGATGGGGGAGGGGGAGCGCGGAGGTGAAGTGGGAGGGCCTCGAAATTCAGTTGAGGGGAGCTAATTTGCAAAATAAGGTGATTTTAAATGCTTTTTAAGCACTTGACCGTAATTTTTTTTTTTGGGGGCGCGAGAATTTTTGGGTGGGCCCGCACCACCTAGATACGCCACTGCTTTGATAGAATCATAGGCCACCACAGACGTAGGCCTATGCAGCAAGGGCGGGAGGGTATAAGAATCGGTTCTTGAGGTTATGACAACCTGTATGTATCCCCTCTTACTGAATTATGAACCAGTGTTAATATCAATGCTGTCTAGCCTCCGCCAGCGCGCGGGTGTGGTGTAGAAATTGAGGAGGCTTTATGTCCATCTGTTGCATTGATACGTACACGGGTTACCGTACCGTACAATCCAGAGGGAGTGTGGTGGTTTCTAGGTGGTGAGTGAATTCATTTTTTTTTCAAAATCCCTCCACTTGTCGTCTCAAAACCTCGAAACGAATCTTGAAATCAATATTCTGTCTTATGTATTAAAGTGTAATTTAAATCAAAACCATTAAAATTTAATAACCGCATATTGGGTCTATCGACGTAAATTCCGGTTGATTATGGCCTCGGTGATTTCCGATATCGGATTTCACAAATTATAATCCCCTACTGGTATCGCACCACACTTCACAAACATACCGTACCGGAATTGCACCGTCGTATTGGTATCGCACCGCATTTCACATAATATTGTACTGTATGTTACAAGTCGTACTGGTATCGCACTGCACTTCACAAATAATACCGGTATTACACCGCACCTATGTTACCGGTTTTACAATTGGTGCAGGTATCGTAGGTCATTTTTTTTTCAAAATCCCTCCACTTGTCGTCTCAAAACCTCGAAACGAATCTTGAAATCAATATTCTGTCTTATGTATTAAAGTGTAATTTAAATCAAAACCATTAAAATTTAATAACCGCATATTGGGTCTATCGACGTAAATTCCGGTTGATTATGGCCTCGGTGATTTCCGATATCGGATTTCACAAATTATAATCCCCTACTGGTATCGCACCACACTTCACAAACATACCGTACCGGAATTGCACCGTCGTATTGGTATCGCACCGCATTTCACATAATATTGTACTGTATGTTACAAGTCGTACTGGTATCGCACTGCACTTCACAATCAAAACCATTATTACACCGCACCTATGTTACCGGTTTTACAATTGGTGCAGGTATCGTAGGCTACTGCACCTTACCGATTTCACACATCGCATTGGTATCGCACTGTACCTCACAAGGTATTGTACCGTACCGGTACCTCTTACCGATTTTACCAATCGTGCAAGTATCGCACCGCACCTCGTACAGATACGCTCGTATCTGATTGGTTGCATTTTTAAAATCACAAGAGTCTTCCTCTATTCCACTTTAATACCATATTCAAATTACAACAAAACAATTAAGTATTAGCCTAGATGCATGTTTGATGTTGAAATATTATTTTCGTTTGCGGTACGCTTTTGACCGGTTAAACCTATAATTATTCAATGTTTTGAAAAAAAAATCATAATGCTGACACCAGTCGTATTAGTCATACAACGACCTGTGAACGATGATTCAACGATAAAACATTAATAAATTAACAGAATGCCATTGAAATATTATTCAAAAAATATGGGATCAGGTTTGATATTTCCGCCGTGATCCTAATTGAGGGTGATTTTATCTGCGGCATAACGAATGATTATAACTTATTAGAACACCATGCATTTAAACGGATTTAAATCGTTTCACCAATGTTCACACCAGGAGAGGGTTAAAAGTCCTATTGCCGCATTCAAGTGAAACTATGGAACAAACACCCGTAGTGATTGGGAAATTGATTTTCAGTCGATCGTAGCATTGGTCCTTATGTCCAGAGCTTCCTCCCCGCCTGGTGCTCTCCTCGTTCTCATTTGTTCCCGGGTTCGGATGACGACGTCCAATAGTTAGGCCTACACGAGATGCAAATTCTCGACGGTACTTGATAGGTTACGACAGTAGGTCGTGTCAACAGCGCTGAAGTAGTTAAGTAAACAGACATTGTGCGTTTTAGTTGGCTGTAGTAAGCAGTGTATGCCAGCCTGTACGCATTCGTATTCTGTAGATCATTTTTCTTGTTGGATATATTCCTTGCCTTGCACTTGCTAACGGATTTTTTGTATACACAAAAAAAAAAAATCTAAAACAGCGACTTTAATCGTAGCCTACATGTGATTTGTTTATACTCGAGTGGAACAAATTTACTTTATCTCAACTAGGGCATTCGTGACTTCCTTTGAAGGGCGTTCGTGTTATTGAATAAACTATTATTGTACTCAAGGGTTGGACAAAATCGTCCACCCAGCCATTCGTGCGTTATCCGTGAATGGACTTACACATTGGAGCTATCATCTCATATAATTCACTTATTATTTTGTTTCTTAAGGTAAGTGTTTTATCTGTCATAAAGTGTTCAATTAAACCTTCGTATTTACACCATAACACCTTTTAATCTGTAATATCCGACATTTACGACGTGGCTATAAAGTTCTTCTCATTAATTGTTAAATAAACAGCAAATCGGTTTGCGATTTTAACAGCAAACATGCATAACGTTCTGAAGAGGCAACTCTTGCGCCAGACAGTTTCCGATAAAATCGAAGTCTGCAGTGTTGCTGAAGTCTGCAACCCGCCGTGATTCAAGTCTTTTTTAGTACACTTGGACACTTATTAAAGTTATACCACACTTTACCCTTAAATTACCGGTAGATTTGAACTCGGTACTTAATGATTTCTTCATTGACTAAACATGTGTAAGTTGTATGAAGAAAAATAGTTTATTATTGTAAAATATTACATATGTATATATGCCTATAT